ACAGTGCACTGCAGTGGCAAAGAAAGTCAACAGAATGCTGGGCTGCACCAACAAGGGCCTCACCAGCAGAGGTAAAGAAGACATCATCCTACTCTACTCAATGCTTGTCAGACCACACCTGGAGTATTGTGTTCAGTTTTGGTCCCAGCTCTACAAAAAGGATGTGGATAGGCTGGAGAGGGTCCAGAGAAGGGCCACAAGGATGATCAGAGGACTGGAGAACCTGACATATGAGGAGAGGCTGAGAAAGCTGGGTTTGTGCAGTTTTGAGAAAAGAAGGCTTCTGGGACACCTTATTACAATGTTCCAATGTTACATTACAATGTACTTAAAGGGTGGTTACCAAGAAGATGGAGATTCCCTGTTTACCAGGAGTCATACAGAAAAGACAAGGGGCAATGGGCACAAGTTGCTCCTGGGGACATTCCAAATGGACACAAGAAGTAAATTTTTCATCAGGAGGTCAGCCAAATATTGGAATAGTCTCCCAAGGGGAGTGATAGATTCCCCCACAATGGACAGTTTAAAGTCTCAGCTTGACAGGGTGTTGAGCCATCTCATATAAACTACAGTATTACCTAAAAAGGTTGGACTTGATGATACTTGACATCTTTTCCAACCTGGCATTCTATGATTATATGATTCATGCTGAAGGGCTTTAAATTTCCCTGCTGGAGACAGCTGGTTTGGAACTATTCGTTTCCACTTTGCGTCTGCTTTTCATCACCCAAATGCAGCAAACAGGACACCCAGTGGCCCCACTCAGTATGTCACAGCAGGAGTGAACCACCCTCTGCTCCAGGCTGCTCCTGACTTGCAGACAATGCATGAGTGCAGCACCAAGAGCTGCTATGGGGAAGAGACCTCAGTCCCGGGACACAGCTGTGCTGGGGGACTCCAAAATGGGAATGTCCCATTTCTGTTAGGGCTTGGGCTCCCTCTTCTTTCATCCTCTCTTCTCCTTGCCTTATACTTCCCACTGTCACTGCTTCATTTCTAGCCTTTGACCGCTATAAATCAAAGGAGTGTCACTGACACTGGGAATGGGGTGGGAGCAGTAGACAGCAACAACCTAAGCTTTGCACACATTATACTTTTTACCTGCAGACACTCTGCAGCATCTCTCACTTACTGGATTTCCAGTCTCCAGCAGCAGGAAAATAAGACATGGACACATCTCTTATTAATACAAAAAGAATGAAAATTGGTTTGTCTTCAGCTCTTTTGTAAAGCTCCCCTTCTGTGGGAAAACCAATGCTTTCAGCTAAGGCTCAGTGTGTGCAGGTTTTGCTTCTCTTACCTTTGCTTAATGCATCACTGCCAGAAAGAGACCAATGTCAGCTGGCAGGCTGAGCAATGGGTGCTGCTGTGCCCCTTGCTCCTTTCATTTTATTGTCTGCAAGCCTGTGCCAGGGGCAAAGTCTGTTTGCTTGAGACTCCCATGATACACTGTATTTCACTCCTCTTTGCAGAAAGAAGAAATGCAATGACTCTCGCTTTGAACATTGTAACAGTGTATCCATAATACCAGCCCTAATTCCAAGATATAGCTACAGATATATTGATATAAACATATTTTAAACTTAAATGTATTTAAGCTTTTAAATACACGACCTATATATCTCTAAAATAGCACATAGGTGTGTAGCTGCGATACTAATGTAGCTTATGAGAAAAAGTTGAAAACTGTTGTTTCCCACAGTGTTTTCTGACCGCAGGAAATCTCTTCTCACACATTAAATGTCATTGTCATCACCTAAGATTCGCAGGAAGAAGCACCTCACATATGAAGAAGGTCAGCTGAAAAGAGCTGTTGAGATTTTTCATGAGAAATTTCTCATGACATGCACTTTGTAAAAAATCAAAACTCACATTTTCCTTTGTTAGTGATGAGGGAGGGAAATGGTTGAAAATGAAAACATTCTATCAGAAGTGTCCAGGTTTCTCTTTCAGGTATGCCTTCCAAACCTAAGACATGTAAAGGAAAATATACATATATATATTTATATTTTTATATAAATATATTTATGTTTAAAAAACTTTTGTTCATCCAAAACAATCAATGTTTTCCTATCGTTTTTGTATATCAACTCTAAACACCAAGCTGTTGTCCAGTGACAAAACCATATAATATCTGCTCTTGCTAGCTTTGACAGAGAAATGAACTGGAGCTGCTTAATAAGACCAGTCTTACTGATACTCATGTAAATTAATTTTTCTCATTATTTGAAATGAGTGCAAACAAATAATGTCTGAGATTTTCTGGTAAATCCTTAAAGATACAAGGTAAAATAAACTGTAACAAACACAAATTAAAATTCATGGAGTAATGTGAATATATCTTGTTATATTATAAAGTGTTGTAGAACTCAAAAAAAACAAAAAAAAAAAAACAAAAAAACCTGAAGGAAAAAATAAGACAAATTTGTCAAAATGTGGATGGGAATAAAACTTTAATGTCATTACTAAATTCATCACATCTATTGGCTTCTTGCTAAGGTGCATTGTCATAATAAATTAGCCTTCTCTATAAGGCCAGCCTTCCATGAAGCATTTAAATATGTAACAATATTAACTACACTCTTACACATCTGTATATGAGCTGGGAAGGGCTCTCTGGTAATGAACTGTGCTTATACTTTTATTACTATCTCTCAGTTTTTTAGGACATTAATTTTTAGGTAAGCTGTTCTGTCAACCAGCTCTACTTGTGTATCTGTAGAAGCAAAAAACTTCTTTTCCAAAAAAAAAAATAATATGTCCATTCTACGTATCCACAAGTAATTAAATTGAACGATATTATGAATTTCAGTCCTGATTCCGGCAAGCATCCCATCTGGGATCCTTACCAGGCACAGGCAGAGGCGTGTGTTAAGGAGCTCCTTGGTTTTATACCTACATGTCTAGGGAAAAAGAATATGTAAAATGAAAGGAAAAAACAGCTGCAGAACTATGTTGGCAAGAGAATATTTCTGTTCTGTGTTTTTCTAAGCAGGTCTTCACTGAAGAGCAAGCCTAAACTCTTACCTCAGGGTTGCTCTTAACCTTCCCCTGTCACAATAAGAACGTCCCACCCAGGTCTGATGGGCTTGTCTGGGGCAGGAGACTAAAATGTGGCCAATACTTTCAGCATGTCTGGAGCTTCATCCACTTGCATTGAGGGCAAAGATGAAACCACTTTACTCTCATAACATTCAAAAATGAGCATACGGTGCTCTGCAATGTGTTTGGGAAGCTGGACCATATCTTCCACAGTCCAAAAAAAAAAGGCAGGCATAAGCCTGTTGTTCTCTGTGTAAGGAGAAAAGTTATCTGTAATTCACTCATTAGTGAATGGGGAGGTGCATCTGACATGAGATGACTGGTAAAAGTTGGAGGCTCAGACTACACCAGGTGATTACCTACAACTTACATGTCTCATTTGCAGGTATTTAAATTACAGCCAATGGCTCTGTCCTGCCTGTTCAGAATTGCCAGGCCCTGCTGGGAATTCTGCCCCTGTGGAAACCTGCCCTGTGTTTCTGTAGGGCAAAGATTTACAACATGCAATTCAGATTTATGCCCCATTCCATAACACTTAACACGTGCTCTTCCACAGCACAGCTGTGGGCCGTGAACAAATGTCCTTCTGGTGCTGCTGGTGCCCTGGGAAGGGCAGGGTGCTGCTGCCCACCCGCTGTGCCCACCACCTCTGTGCTGTGGGCCCCAGCCACCCCACCATGCTCCACCAGTGTAGACTGGAAGCCCAAGTCATTTTCTTTCCTAAAAATCACAGTGGCAGAAATGCCTTTCAGCACAGCACCCCAGCAAGTCCAGACACTAAAAACCTGCAGGGTGCTGTGGTCTTGTAAAGGCTGCAAAGGGAGATGTGGAAAGTGTTCACTTCCCAAGGAAGGATGGACTGTGTTCTGCTGGATCAGGCCCTGAGTCAGCACCCTTTCTCCTAGAGATCGTAGAACCTTAGAATGATTTGGGTTGGAAGGGACCTTAAAACTAATCTGATTCTAAGCCCCCTGTCACGGGCAGGGACACTTCCCACTTGACCGGATTGCCCAGAGCCCCATCCAGGCCGGCTCCTCCAGGGAGGGGGCACCCACAACCTCTCCGCACAACCTGTTCCAGTTCCTCATCACCTTCACACTCATTTCTTCCTAATATCTAACCTAAGCCTACCCTCTTTCAACTTGAAACCATCACCCCTCAACCTGCCGCTGCGTCCTTCTCAACAGCCCCTCCCCAGCTCTCCCGCAGTCCCT